AGTATATTTTAGATATGAGACCCTTGTCCGTTGTATGGCTAGTGAAGATCTTCTCCCAATCCGTAGGCTTTCTATTGATCTTGCTAGCTATGTCCCTTGCCATGTAGAAGCTCTGCAACTTCATGCAATCCCATTTGTGCAACCTTTCTTTGATTTGTTGTGTTTCTGGGTCTCTATTAAGAAAATTGCTGCCTGTGCCAAGGAGACCTAGGGTTTCTCCTGTTCCATCCTGTAATGTTTTCAGAGTTTCTGCTTTAACTCCGAGGTCTTTGATCCATTTGGAATTGATTCTGGTGCAGACACCACATTTTCTTGATCCATTGATTTGTACACTTTATTGGGCTAAATCCAACTTTATTGTGTTATTTATTTTCATATTATGCCAAATTCAATTTACTAGGGTTTATTTAGAGTTTTTACATTAATTTAAAAGTTGAAGTAGGTTTCCTTTTTCCTCTGTCAGGTTTTATTGTCTTGATTAAATTTGCTTGATAAAATAATTTGGACATATTTTCCATCTTTTCTTTGATCTAGAATATCCTTTCCCGAAAGTTTGCTAGATCTTCCTGGGGCCTTCTTTGGAGGCATTTAAAAAAGTTATCTCCATATTTCACATTTTTTTGCCTAATTATATTTAGATAATGGATTTTTAAAATATTTTAAAATTGCTTTTGCCTGAAATGCAGTGAGCCCTTTAGTCCACATACTGAGATTGTTCTTCACTCAGGACGTTTTCCTATTCATATTGTAGCTTATTGCTTTTCTTCTGCTTGATTTATTTTCTTTAAAAATATCTGTAATTAATAGGGATAGAGTATTTAGCGTCTCAGTGAACTTTTTCTCATCCCTTTTTAGCCTTTTATCCTTTCTCAGCCTTCTGGAGCCCCTCTGCATTAATAGTTAGTCATTTTGACTGTTTCAGTTTTCTTCAATATCTGCATTTTTAGTTTCTTTGCAGATTTCTTTCTTTGCAGCCTTTGTTCCCTTTTCTCCTAAGCTTCTTAGTAATAATAATAACCAGTGTTTATTTAGTAATCTTAACT